TGTGTGTGTGTGTGTGTGTGTGTGTGTGTGTGTGTGTGTGTGTGTGTAAATCAGGAAAGGCTTCATATAGAAGGAGGCCCTTGAGCTGAGCCTTGAAGGAAGCCAGAGATTCTAAGAGGTGGTGGGGAGGATGAGAGTACATTCCAAGCATGGGATGGGAGACAGTGAATTCAAAGGGCAGGGAGCACATTTTGGTATTCTTCACAACACTTAACAGTGCAGGGCACACAATAGGTGTCCAATAAATAAATTTTGAGTCAGACTGAAGATAGATTACTGGGAAGAATTGCCAGGGACTGAGGTCACATTGGTACCCCCCAAAGTGAGGGTTTCCCTAGGGGTACAGAAGGATATCAACTCCAATCAGGGTAAGCCCTTCAAAGTAAGTGAAACTTGTTCCCAAAGAGGAGATGTGAGAAGATATCTCTTCTCTCTCTCCCCTGCTCCTCTGCAGATGTTGGGGTCCACAAGTGTGGAACATTGCACTTAACATTAGATTTGCTTTTTGATATGTTGCTCCATTTTACTGAATTATTTTTCTCTTTTCTTTCTTTTTCTTTTTAAAAAAAAGTTTTTTGTTAAAAGGAATAACTCTCTAGGGAGGGGGAGGGATAAAGGAGGAAATCTAGGCAATATCATAAATAAATAATATTTTAAATCTATTAAAATTTCTTTAAATGTAAATTTGTCTTTTCTTGTTTGAGTTTTCTATTAATTACAATCCACCACCAGCACCACCCAATATTCATTTGACATGTTTTATATGGCCTATGGACAGACTAGTAACAACGGATAGAGGCAGATTTTGGTTGGATATAAAGAAAATTTCCCTAACAGTTACAACTACTCCTAAATAGAATACCTTCACTTGGGAGTTAGTGAGTTTTCTATCACTGAATCTTTAAGCAGTGGCGGGATAACCACTTGTCCAGTATGTTACAGAGAACATACCGCTTCAGACATGGGTTGGACAAGATGAACCTAGAAGGCCCTTTCAACTATGAGACTCGATGGTCCTTTTCTCTGTATTATATACACATTTCAGTTCAGGTGTTTTCAGTCATGTCCAACTCTTCATGACCCCATTTGGTGTTTTCTTGGCAAAGATACTGGAATGGTTTCCCATTATCCTTCTCCAGCTCATTTTACAGATGAGGAAACTAAGGCAAATCTCAGGATTAAGTGACTTGCCCAGGGTCACACAGCTTGTAAGTGCTGAGTCCAGATTTGAACTCAGAAAGAGGAGTCTTCCTGACCTCAGGTCCAACACTCTATCCACCATGCCACCTAGATGCCCAAAAATACACATACATATTCCCAAAGGTTGCTGCTGCCTTCACCGACCTTTTCCATATGCCAGGTAAGCCCGGAGACAGTCTGGGGCTCGGGAAGCTGTCAACTCCAACTTTTCCTCTAATTCCATGCTTCCCTGTAGCAGGACTACACTCTGAGAGGCTGATTCAGTGACCCTTCCCAGCAGGCTTACTTGCTGATCTCCTGGTGCCCTCAGCTATAATTGAGAGAGATATTTAAGTCTGTTGGGTTGATCATAACCCTCTCCTGCCCTCTAGAATAGGACCCAAGAGAAGCGTGTCTGAGGATGTGCTGAGTGAAGGGAGAAAAAACAATAGGACTGACTATCTTCCTTAAATCTTCTCTGGCTCCCCAGTTTCCCTCCCTCCTGTAGCTCTGAATAATAATGATGCAGAGGAAAACATTAAGTTCTGAAGTAAAAAGGTAATAACAGAGCCTCTATTATATAGAGGAATTAAGTGGTCCCCTAGGTAATGTAGGCATCAAACCGGAGGCTCCCTTGCCCTCAAAACCTCCAGCATTGACCTGCCATGCCCACTTACATAGAGCCATAAAATCAGTTCCTCATCTTTAAAACGGGGCCAATAAGGAGAGAAAGAGTGGTACAGGGGGTTAGAGCGCTGAATTTGGAGTCCAAAGACCTAGGTCCTAATCTTGCCTCTTTCACTACAAAGGGAGGATCTGTCACTTGGGTGACCCTGAGTAAGTCATCGGGGCCTCAGTTTCCTCATCTGTAAAATGAGTGGGTTAGACTAGGTGACTTCTCAGGGCCCTTCTAGCTCTTATCCTATGATATAATATATGACATAATATATGACGTGATCCACGGGTCGCTGAACATCTTCTAGGAGAAAATGTGTGCCAAAGCATTTTGAAAACTGTACAGCACCACTATCTGTGGGAACAGAATCATAGGTCTAGACAGAGCCAGAAGGGACTTTGGAGGCCATCTAATCCACCCCCTCGTTTTACAGCTAAGGAAACTGAGGCCCAGAGCAGGTTAAATGACTCATCCAAAGTCACCTTGGTAGGGTCAGAGGCAGAATTTGAATCCAGGACTTTGGACTGCAGAGTCAATGTACTTTCCGCGGTCCAATGCTAGGGTTGCTATTTCTATCACGGGAGGAAGTAATAGGAATAGTTATTAAGCTTTTCTGCAGGAATGGAGGACCTGGGGGCATGATGATGGGAAAAAGCAGCCCATATCTCTGTGGAATATGGGCTGTAAGGGACTGAATATGACATTTGTTCAAGGAGATAGGGACATTTTTCCCTCCAGCACCTGCCGCTAGATGGCAGTGTGATGCAAGCAGAAGAAGCAGCCTGCCTCCCTTCCCCCACCTGTCCCCATTCCTAAAAGACCAGAATTAGACGCTGACTCAGGATCCCAGGACTGGCCCATGCTGTACTTTTGTATGACAGTAGAAAGAGGGGACAACAGTAGCCTGAGGAATGGGAATGCTGGTCAGTGTCCCAGAGCCATGAGGACCAGAATGCAGTTTCGGGTCCAAGATCAGAGACCCACCAATTTGATCCTGCTAATTTCATAGCCTTCTACAACTGGAAGGGACTTTACACACCATCTAGTTCAACCCACTCATTTTTTTTCTTTCTTTTTTGGTTAGGCAATTAGGGCTAAGTGACTTGCCCAGGGTCACACAGCTAGCAAGTGTCAAGTGATTGGTCTGAGGCCGGATTTGAACTCAGGTCATCCTGACTTCAGGACTGGTGCTCTATCTACTGTGCCACCTAGCTGCCCCCAAACCACTCATTTTTACAGATGACGAAAACAGGTCCACTAGGTTCTCTTTTCTTTGAGAACAGAAAGCTGGAAGCAAACTCAATTGTGTGCCCGACCCAGAAAGACTTGTTCAATGTCACACAAAAAGCAACCAGAGACAGGATTTGAACCCAGGTCCTTTCCCTCCAGAGCCAGGGCTTTTTTCCCACTGTATTACAAAATCTGACTTTCTGGAGGCTCTGTTGGGGACTTAGTCATCACCTCAAGACTCCCTGATAGAGCTCCCTTTCTGATTTGCATGAATGCACTGAGAGGATGGGGGCGGGGAACCTGTAGTTCTTCCCCGAACTGAGGGAGATATAACTTAGCTCTAGGTGGAAGTGTTAAGCAACCCATTCCCCCCACCTCCTCCCTCCCACCCAGGTTTTTTCCTTTAAGAACCGAAAGCTAGAATCAAGCTCAACCGTACCCACAACCCAGTGAGAAGTTATACCAGGCAGTTATACCAGAAGTTATACCAGGCAGAATTTGATCATATAGCTATCATCCCTGCTCATGTGGTGTTTTATGCCTGTGAAACGTGGACAGTATACCAGCATCATACCAGGAAATGGAATCATTTCCATTTGAACCATCTTAGGAAGATTCTGAAGATCACCTGGCAAGATAAGGTATCAGACACTGGGGTCCTTTCTCAAGTTGAACTGCAAGCATTCAAACTCTAATGTAGAGAACATAATAATTCTGATAGGTTGGCCACACTGAAAGTCAAACACAGATTTGCTTAAAAGACTATTTTATGGAGAACTCACACAAGGCAAGTGCTCACACAGAGGTCAGAAAAAGTGATACAAGGACACTCTCAAGGTCTCTCCGAAGAACTTTGGTATTGTGAGACATGGGAGACCTTGGCACAGGACTGCCCAGCATGGCGTGCCTGCATCAAAGAAGGCGCTGTGCTCTGTGAGCAAAGCCGAATTGTAGTAGCTTATAAGAAATGTGAGATGCACAAATTTAGAGACATCTTCACTCCAAATGTTCACATGGACTATTGTGCCCGACCTGTGGTAGAGCCTGCTGAGCTTGCATTGGTCTGATCAGCCATAGTCAGCCTTGACCCCAACATAGCAGCATCATTTTGGTCTTCTGAGAACAAACCATATGCTTGGGGCGCAGGAGTTGTGCTAGAAAACAAACCATGATCCTTCCACCCTTGCACACACACATTTACATACAACAATGTCTACCCAGAGGAACGAGATATAAGGCAAGTGCTGCACAGTGCCTCGGGGTGGCAGGTGTGACCTCAGCCCTACTCTCCCTATGCTCTCTCTCCGTTCTCCTCCTGAAACGCACACTCATCAGTCTCTGTCTCTTCTTCCATGTTCTAGCATTCTCAGTACCCAGGCCAGCTTCTAACCACCCCTTCCCATAGACACCAGTACTCTGCTCACTTTGGACATCCCTCAATACTCTCCCCTCCCCCAATGAAAAAGCAATCAATCTTTCTTCTTTCTAGTTACCCCCACAACCAGAGAGAGATTCTTTCAATGTTCCAGCTAGTGGCATCTACAGCTTTCCCCCCCTTCAAGCCCTGTAGCTTTCCTCTCTCCAGACTAGAATCCCTCCTCTAGGTCCCACTCATACTCCTTTCTTTTTAGAAGGGATGCTTCTTTGCATGTCCCCAAGAGAAGTACCTAACACTTTGAAGAATCCCTCCTTGCCTAGGAGGCCTGATATCAGTTAATCCATTCGTTTTTGCTGGGTGGGTGAGTCTGCAAATTAAAAAGGCTCTGATGACTTCTCTCAATGCTTTGTCCAGCTCTGGCCAGAGCTCCTTTCTGTAGGCCCTCCCCTCTTATCCTTTTCTCAGAGGGCTAAATAGTGCTGAGGGAAGTCAATCCACTAATTTCTCCTATCCACCTTTCTTCCCTCTTGTCCACCTAAGGTGAATTTTGAGTTTAAAGGTACTTCCCATACGGATTTTCCTTCTCACCTCCATCTGTTAAGCCTCTCAGAACTCCTGTGCCCCTCAAAGCAGGAGGGATGCTGATCATCCCCCTTGAGGTCTCTCTCTTGATTCTGATCCTGAATACAATGGCACTTTATACAATTTTCAAAATGCTTTAGCATATATTTTATCTTAGGAGATGATCAGCTTTGAAGTTCAATTCCCACTTTTCATAGGCTCGTAGATATAATTTTAATTTTATAATTTGTAATTTATAATTTTAAATTATGAAAACTGCAGTAAGACTTTTGGGACACCCTGCATGACTGGGACGGAACCTTAGTTCAATAACTAGTCTAATCCTCTCATTTTACAGATAAGGAAATTGAGGTCCAGAGATGGGAAATGACTTGCCCAAAGTCACACAGGCAACAAAGTGGAATCATGAGAAAAATCCCAATGCTGGCTTTGGGAAAGAACATTGTTGTCCAGATCTCCCACAGAGAGATGTACTGATCATCCTCATGTAGGCAGCATAGTAGATAAGGCACTAGACCTGGAATCAGAGAGATCTGAGTTCAAATCCTGTCTCAGACACTTACTAACTGTGTGACCCTGGGTAAGTCACTTAACCTCTACTTACCTTAGTCTCCTTATTTGTAATATGAATAATGAATGAATAAATGAGAAAAACAAATAGTAACACCTACCTCCCAGGATGGTGGCGAAATTGAGATAAGATAATATTTATGAAGCTCTTTGCAAACGTTAAAGTGCTATACAAATTCTATGATGAAGATGATGATGATAATGACAAAAATGTAACTCAGTCTCCACATTGCAAACAGGGGCATGAGAGACTTAGTATGGCTACACCCTGGGGAATCAAGGTTTTTTACTGACCTCTAGTGGCTGTTTCCCTGTTCTCTCCTACTTGCTTATATGTTTCCCTTTCCCATCTTGATCCCAAGGATCACTGACAAATAGGCCAGATGATCCAGGATTCCATATCAAAAAACTAGGCCGTGCCATGCCTACCAACTGTGGAAAGTTTGTCAAGGCCAGCCTTGGGGTCACAATCCGCCTTGTGTTTTCATCTATTTTAGGCGCTTAATAAATGCTTTCTGGTTGACTGGTTGTTCAGCCAGATAACTGTGCCCATTAGACCTTCAAGGCTTGTCTAGATAAGGGGTTCTTATCTTGTTTTATGCATGGACCCCTTTGGCATCTGGTGAAGCCTATGGACTCCTGCCAGAATGTTTTTAAATTCATAAAATGGAATACACAGGATTACAAAGGAAATCAAAAGGTAGTGAAAACAAAGATGTAATTTTTGTCCCATCCAACTTCATAGACTTCCTTGAAATCTTATACCCATGGATTAGACCCCTTATTGTGAATCCCCAGTCTAGAGTAAGGTAAACTTCTAAGTCTTTCCTAAAAATTTATGCCAAGAAGATACCGTTCTCAACTCCAAATAACTCTCAAATAAGGCCATGGTCTAAAATTCTTTGTTGTTCAGCTGTTTCGTTGTGTCCAACCCTCCATGACCCCATTTGGGGTTTTCTTGGCAAAGATACTAGGAGTGGTTTGCCATTTCTTCTCTAGCTCTTTCTACAAATAAGGAAACTGAGGCAAACAGGGTTAAGTGACTTGCCCAGGGTCACACAGCTAGCAAGTGTCTAAGGCCAGATTTGAATTCAGGAAGACTCATCTTCCTGACTCCAGGGCCAGCACTCAATCTCACGTCTCATTACATACTGAAAGCCCAATTCTTTCCTTCTATGTATCAAAGGTCCAATCCGGTCAAGTTTGGTCCTACTCAGCCTCCCAATCATTGAAAGTTACCTTTGTCTAACCGGTTGGAAATGTCTGTGTCCTAGGTGAAATAACCCTAGGAAGCTAAACTTTCCTCCTGCTTCCCTTAACTGTAGAAAAGCATCTCCTCCCCCTCCCCTTCTATGCTGCTTTCCATAGGATGGGGAGAATAGTGGACAGTACCAGTACCAGGAAATCTTGCTGAGCCACAATTTTAGCAAAGATCACCTAACCATCCAACAACCGATTCAAAGTGACACACGGTGCGAGGGAAGCTGTCTCTGTATTATTGCTGGAATTACAATTAGGTTGCCTGGTGCCCACCACACCTGCCTAGAGTCCACCAGAGACTCTCCTTTTTTTTTTTTTATTTTTTTGGTGAGGCAATCGGGGTTAAGTGACTTGCCCAGGGTCACACAGCTAGTAAGTGTCAAGTGCCTGAATCCGGATTTGAACTCAGATCCTCCTGATTCCAAGGTCAGAGCTCTATCCACTGTACCACCTAGCTGCCCCCAGGCACTGTCCTTCTTAGGAATGGAAACTCAGAAGCAAGTTGATCTGGGCTTTTACAAATCACTACTTGCTTGGTATTGGTATACACTTCAGCCACCAAGTCATGAGCCCCAATACCTGTGCATATCAATTAATCAACAGACATTTAATAAATGCCTACTATATGTCAGACACTATGCTAGGGCTGGGGATACATTGCCTTCAAGAAACTCCCTTTCTTATTGGGGGAATCACAGCATATACATGTAAGTCTATAAAAATATAAATAAGGCAATGGGAGTAATGCTAGTCTCGCCAGGTGAGGGGGATTAGGAAAGGCTAGGGGATACAACAGATAAGAGTATTGGGCATGGAGTCAGGAAAATTCATCTTCCTGAATTCAAATCCAGCCTCAGACACTTACTAACTGTGTGACTTTGGGTAAGTCATATAACCCTATTTGCCTCGGTGTCCCCATCTGTAAAATGAGCTGGAGAAGGAAATGGCAAACCAGTCCAGTACCTTTGCCTAGAAAACCCCAAATGGGGTCATGAAGAGTCAGACACGACTGAAAAATGACTGAACACATAGGAAGTGGTATTTGAACTATTTGAAGAAAACTAGAGACTGTCTCTCAGAGGCAGAGGTGAGGAGTGAGTAAAATCCAGGCATGGGAGACAGCCAGTGCAAAAATCCCACAGGTGGGAGATGGAATGTGATGGGGAGAAGAAGAGCAAGACGGCCAATTTGCCCGGACCAAGAGTTCATGAAAGGGAGCAAAGTAGGATGAAAAGACTGGGAGGTCAGGTTGGAGGCTGGTTGTGAAGGGTTTTAAATTCCAAAGATTTGAATTTGATCCTTAAGGCAATAGAATCATACATGACCTAAGTCAGTCAACAAGCATTTATTAAGCAGCTGAGTTAAGTGCTGGGGATACAGAGAAAGGCAAGAGACAGTCCCTGCTCTCAAGGAGCTCATAGCCTAAGGAAGAAGATGACATGCAAACAGCTACGTATACCATGGCTGGAGAGAAGCTATGGAGGGAAGGCACTAGTGCGGGAGTGGGGAACCTGCAGCCTCGAGGCCACATGTGGCCTTCTAGGTCCTCAAGTGCGGCCCTGTGACTGAATCCAAACTTCATAGAACAAACCCCCTTAGTAAAAGGACTATAAATATAACAATATGATAAATAATAAAAATATAAATAATAATAATATAATAAAAGCTAGTGACTAGCATATTCTGAGATCTGCATTGACCATACAGAGGAGAGATCTTAGGGAGATTCCCTGCCTTTTTTTCCCCATGCTCTGGAACTCTCAACACAGAACCTGCTCCCTCCCAGCACATACCTCACTTGGCCTGCATCCAGATGTCCCAATTAACAAGACCCTCCTTGTCCCTCCTCCTCCCCAACCCCACCAAGAATGGTAATCAATCACCCCTTTTAATCCTTCCTCACAAAGGCATGGGGGATCTTCTTGGAAAGAGGCACCCCCCTCCATCTGTCCCACTCCCAGGCTTGCAGCAACCTCATCTTTAGACAATAAAGCTCTGATTGAAGCAAATCCCTGTAACCGAGTTCACTTCGAGGGAAACACCATAGGAAAGAATGTGATTCACTTGTAAATGAGCTCAAATGCCCTTGATGAGACAAGCAGGGTTATTCAGGCATTATTCACCCTGGGTTAAAGACCAGTTCCTTTTGGCTGTGTAATAATACCTCACATTTGTACATGCTACTTTTCAAAACTCTTCCTGGTACATGAGCTCATCTGTGACAGGCAGCATGACCCAGAACTGACTCCCAGGGGTCACAAAGGGAGTTACTGACTTAATGTGGACTAAAACAACGTCACCCTGAAATCAAAGCCTAATGGATCTCTCAAAGGACAGGGTCTGCCTGTTCTTTCAGGGTTTAGGGGAGCCAGGTTCCAAACTGAATGGTTAAACTGGGTTCTCCCATCCTCAAGCCTAAGGTAGGAGGAGGAGGGATGGTACTGAAACTCTAGTCACCTCTAGCTCTCCAGAGAAGTCTTGAGTCTTTGGAGTACTGTGGTTCCTGAGGGTCAAGACCAACACCAAACCATGCCCAGGGTCTGGGGCGAGGCGGAGCAGGCCCCTAGAGTGTAGCACGAAGCTACCTTGGTTCAGCAGATATTCTCCAGAGATCGCAACAGCCTGCAGATAGAAACGGAAGCAGTCTCTAAACTAAACTCTGGACGCTGAATCCACCCCCATCAGGCTAACTGCCTCCCCAAAACAAAACCCAAGACCAATTCAAGAAAACCATCGGTTCTGCGTTCAAGGTGTCAAAAGGCATTTCAGAGAGCCACATTTTGTAAGGTTGGCTGTGGAGGTCCGCGTTGAGTACTGAGTTAGATCAGCTAAAATGAAAATAATAGGAGGAATGAGAGAACATCTTTTAAATGTAATTTGGGCTAGTGTCTGGTGGGGAATAACCCGTGACCTTTGTTCTGGCTGTGGGAAACCTAGCCTCATCAAATATCAGATCAGTAGCCAATAGTATCCACCCCCCAAATCCCCTTCTCCTACGGAGTAGGTATGACTTACACTGGAAAGATTACAGAGTCCCAGTCTGAGAGAATGGCTGAGATGGTTCAGGTAGTTAGTCTCTATTTCTCCCAGGAAGTTTTGCTTGGGGCAGGAGGTCAAGAAGATATTCTCTAGAACCACTTCTGCATGCAGTCTATCTGACCGGAGTGGCCGGTGTCTCTGTGGGGAATAGAATGACCCAGGGAGGCTGGGGGCGGCAGCCTTTGCAGTAAGAAAGAAAATGCCTGCTACATTGGGATTTGACTCCTTGGTCCAACCTATACCATTAGGCCAAGTGTGTTGGTGGACCCTAGAAAGGCACACTATTGTCCTTACCCTGAGGAAAAAGGGAATGAGCAATGGGAGTGTGTTCTCCACCACAATAGGGCATGCCCACATACCCATGCTACTATCTACGTATACCCATATACATAGACATGCCTAGGTACTGTTGGTTTTATAGGGGGAACAAGGAGAGCCCTCCAAAAATGTCTCTCCTCACAATCCAGTCTGTTGCTGATGTCAGAAATTAGATTTCATTCTTTTGGCTTAAAGGATTGATCCCCACAAAAAAGGAAAGATGACTGAATGAGAACACAATTGTTATTTCCTTAGGGTAAAGGAGTTTATCAGATTCAGAACTAGTTAGTGGGGGGCAAGTCCTGGAGGGGGAAGGGAAACAAAGCAGAAGGATCCTTTTCCTCTAGGAGGTAAGAAGATTGGAGGTAAACTAGAGGAGGTAAGAAGGAAAGGGAGGTGAGAAGACATTGCTAAAGACAAACTGCCCTTATTTCACAAATCTGTCTAGCACTAACTCTATCCCAGCTGGGAGATCAAGAGTTCTGAGCCAGCTATTATAAGGTCTTGATGCTGTCTGCAGAAGACTCTGGATACAAGGTTTCCTCAAGCTACCCCAGGTGAACCTGGCACATACCAGCAGGAGCCAGACTTTGGGCCTTCTCCCCTCCCATTTATGTGCCCCAACAAAATGCCCAACTACATCCCTGTGTCCTGTCTTCAGCTCCCTACTCCTCAACGCTACCAACATCCTAGCCATCCACAGTATCTCTCTATTTGGGGTACCCCAGAAGAAAAGACTTGTAATATGATCCTTGAGTGTCACTTTCCCCTCTGACACTGGCTACTATCTTGTGGACCCTTTAAAGGTCAAAGATGTCCTGGGTCAGCAACCAGGGCCTTCCGCTGTGTGGAGCAAACCATTGTATCTATGAAAGGACTGAAGAAGCTTCTTCTGCCCTATCCCCAAGAAATCCAGCACCATGGAGGTGCTACAGTTGAAAAAAATAAACAAAAGTGAACACTCAAACTAAGAATCAAATCAACTCTCATGCCTGGGATATCTCAGGTGCCATTTTCTAGGACAGCATTGAGATGGAGTTAAATGGTCTTCCTTCCAGGCTCATGAGAATAAGTAATTTCAAGATGATAGAAAACAGCCCCCCTCTTCCTGGCTGTCACAGCATCGCTTTGGCTTTTCTCATGTTACCTCATATTTCAGACTCTGTTTGACTTTCTGGCTGTCCCAGGACAGATCAAGATGCTCGCTGAACACTGTTGCAGTTTGAGTTACAGATCCACAGGCCTTGAGATTGCCCAGGGTCAGGAATTTCTGGAGCTAATCAAGGGAAAAGCATTGGTATTAATGATTCTGGGAAAAGGGATATTTTTCTCTTTGGTATGAAAATTAAGTGATCATACTTTAGTGCTTTTTTTCAAAGTTTAATAAAATGCAGCCGAACTTAGAGAGAAAGCCAGTTGACTGTCTTCAATTTATCCTGTCTGTATCATGTTTACACACTGATGTTTGCATATAACAACAACAACAATAATAGTAACCAACAGCCAACATTTATATAGTCCTTATGAGCCAGGCACTGTGCTAAGCACTTTACAATTTTATCTTCTTTGATCCTCACAACACCCAGAGTGCTATTCAGATGAGGAAACAGGCAAACAGAAATTAAATGACTTGCCCAAGGTCAAACAACCAGTAATAGTCTGATTTGAACTCAGATCCTCTTGTTAGACTGTGAGCTCTTTGAGAGCAAGTATTGGATTTGGGTTAGGTTTAGTTTGGTTTTGCCTTTTTTGGTATCTTCAGAGCATGACACCTATTAGGTGCTTAATAAATGCTTATTGACTGTACTTTGTTATCTCTTCTTGTCCTAAGAGCCAAGTGTGGTCCCAAAACCTGAATCCTGATTCAGAAAGCTAGTCAGGTAGAGAGAACATTTGTTGGTTAATACAAAGCATAGAATATAAATATAATTATAATACGCAGAAGAAACACCTTGGGAGTTTGAACTTGACACAGAATTCACTTCCTCTTTGCCTGGTCTTTCTAGCAGGAAGGCCTTTTATTTGTGCCAGAGAAATTGGGGAATAACTGATTTAGGTGAGCATCACGGCCAAGGCCTGTCCAAGGTGCCACATCTTGGTCTGTGGGCATCCAATTCAAAGCATTTAACAAGTACTTGCTATGTGTAAGGTTCTGTGCTAGATGCTATGGATAAAAAAGTTTTGGTTTTTTTTAAATGACAAAGTCCCTGTCCTCAAAGAACTTACATTTTCCTGGGGCACAGGCACCGTGATAAAAACGAAGGTTTTAGAACAAACCCCCACAGGAACATAGAGGCTTATGACTCCTCAAAACTCTTCCTCTCCCTGAACTGGTGGGGACTCATTCCTAAAGGACTGTATATATTCTGCAATGCTCCCTATTGCCATAGAATGGAAGTTCCTTGAGGTTTCCTTTTTTCCTTTGTGCCCTTAGCACATCCCTGCAGGTGGTAACATTTATTTATTGACCGACTGATTGCAGAGCCCTTGAAGTTAATGGCCAGTGGTAGCCCGTGGTATTGCTCTCTCAATCCTCAGATGCCCTCAGAGAGGTAAGCCTCCCTCCACATCACATGTACCTGTCCTGAGGATGCAGTCAGACAGCCTTCCCAGTTGGTGATGGTAGCTTCTGACCTGTCTGCCCAGGAAAACTGGAAGTTGACAGGTTTCCCTCTATTCCAGGCAAGTTGTACCTATAACCAGAGGTGAGAACCAGATGTGCTTCAGAATAATAGGACTGAATTGGCAGCCCTCCCTCTCTGCTCTGTACCATGGTCCAGTACCTACACTAGGTCTCCAAGTTGTAGACTTGTCTCATGACTGAGATCTGGGTACCAGTTGAAGAGAGCAAAAGAAATCAGAGCAGAAAAGACCTTATTATCTTCGTCTCTTTAGACATACTTCTTCTTCGGATAGATGCCTGCCGTCTTGAACAGTTTTGACACTGACCTACCTGGAAGGAGGGGTTCTTAGGATCACAGTATCTTAAACTAGAAGGGGACTCAGAGGAAACCTAGCCCAATCCCTTTATTTTACAGATGAGGAAACTGAGGCCCAGGGAGGTTCAGTGCCCTGTTCTAGGATATATAGATAGTAAATAGAAGGGTGGGATTTGAACCCAGGTTCTCTGATTCTAGAGACTCTTTCCACCTTTTGTAAACCTTCATAGGTTTTTTTTGAGGCAATAGGGGTTAAGTGATTTGCCCAAAGTCAGTCGTTTTTTAAATAGTATTTTATTTTTTCCAATTACATGTAAAGACAATTTTTAACATTAATTTTTTTTTAAGATTTTGAGTTCCAAATTTTTCTCCCTCCATTCTTTCCCTCCCTCCTCCCTAAGATGGTAAGCAATGTGATATAAAACCTTTGTAGTTTTAAGGAATCAAACAACAGCAGAAGCCCATTTTTTATCCTCGACTGTTCGCTCTTAAGGAATCCAGGTAGAAAAAGCCAATTGCAATCCATTTCTGTGCCCTTTACCGCCTCCCTACCCATCTTTGTACCAGCTTGGGAACATTTGCAATCTCACCTGTTGGCTGTACCTGCTGCCCCTCTTCTCTGCCAGGCCCTTGGCTTCCATGTGGCTCCAGGATAGGTTGAAGGGATGAGCAAAAGCCACCTGGCCACGCACGTGATCCTTCCCCAGCTTTAGAGAGGAGGACAGCACCACCTGGCCCGAGTCAGAGGCCAATGAGAGAAATGTCATGAGCACCAAAGCTTTGATCAGCTTCCACTCCCCCCAACCCCCACCCCTGATTAACCGCTATGGGCCTCAGTTTCCTCATCTGGAAAATAAAGGAATTGGAACAGATGGTCTCTAATACCCTTCCAGCTCTAAATCAATGATCCTATGATTATTCTCAAAGGCTGGGACCCCTATTCAGGGGAGATCCAGGGAGATGGTAGAAATGAGGTAACACATCAAACATTCCTGTCCCCCTTCACAAGCCCTTAGCTCACTAAGGGTTAGGAAATTGACTCTGAATGATGAGTATCACAGTGCCTGACACAGGGGTGCTTTATAAATGCTTGTTGATGGATTTATTGATTCGTGGGTTTGACATTTGTGAAACTTGGCCCTGAGGCAAAGAATATTAGGTGTCCCTTGAAGACCCTTGGAAGACTACTCCAGGTGTGCAGTGGGTAGAGCACTGGCCCTAGATCCTCAGGAGGACCTGAGTTCAAATCTGGCCTCAAACACTTGATGCGTGCTAGCTGTGTGACCCTGGGCAAGTCACTTAACCCCCTTACCTGGCAAAGAAGAAGAAGAAGAAAGAAGAAGAAGGAAGAAGAAGAAGAAGAAGAAGAAAGACTATTCCAAACTGAAGGTTTGGTCTCCTGAGCCAGTATTTATTACTTTGAATCTCCCTGAGGCCTGCAAAGCCTCAACACAGTGCTTGGCCCATGGTCAATGATGAATAGGTACTTCTTCACTTGATCTGACTGGGACTCCACTTTCTAGGAGGTAGGGTGTATAATAGGGAGCAGTCCTCCTCATCTGTCCCACATTTTCCTTTTCTCTCTTATCTTGTGCCTTCTTCTGGAGAGACAAAGACAGAAATTCTGTTGAACCCACCCATTAGAGATAGAAGATTCTAGAGAAAGAAGAATCAGTCCAAGTAATTTAGGTGAGAAGGACTACAGAGCAGGGACGGGTTCAGGATCATATTGTGTTGTGCTCAAGGGTAATGGGAGGGAAGCTTTTCAAGGCTAGACCTGTGCCTCATCCACACCCAGCATACATAGTTCAGCTGCCTCTTTAAATGTACATGAGATATGGTGGAAAAGGCTCTCATCTCAGCTCTCATGGACTAATGATGTGAGCTTGAGCAAGCCAATAAACATTTATTAAGCACCTACTATGGCAGCAGTAGATAGAGGGCTGGGCCTGGAGTCAAGGAAGGCCTGAGTTCCAATCCAGCCTCAGACACTTACTAAATGTGTGACTTTGGGCAAGTCGTTTAACCTGTTTGCCTCAGTTTCCCCATCTGTAAAATGAGCTGGAGAAGGAAATGGCAAATCATTCCAGTATCTTTGCCAAGAAAATCCCAAATGGGGTCACAGAGAGTCATTCATGGCTAAAACAACTGAATACCAAGAATAAGCACCTACTGTGTGCACAGTACTGTGCTAAGTACTGGGAATTTTTAAAAAAGATAAAATGCAAGACAGGATCTCAGAATCGAATGAGGAAGACAACATGTAAACGGCTGCATACGAACAAGTTATAAATGGGATGACTTGAAAATATTCAATAGAGGGAAGGCTGTAGCATTAGGAGAGATCAGGAGAAACCTTGCAGAAGGTGGCCCTGTAGTGGAGACTTGAAGAAAGCCAGGGAAGCTCCTGAGCCCTGGTTCCTTGTCAATCAAATTAAGGGGTTGAACCAAATGGCCTCCAAGGTCCTTTTCAGGTCTCTGACACGTGATGATATTTTTCCAGTGCTCCACTTCCTCTCCCTCCTAACCCCAGGCTGTTTTTACCTGTTCCTTGGCATTCCATTCAATGACTAGATTATCTTGATGGCTGTGAACTGAGTGTAGCAGGGTCGTGGTGATCTTGGAATGTTGAGGAAAAGGGATGGAGAGAGGATGGACAAGTTCCACTGTAAGAGAGGGGAGAAAAGTGGAGGGAGAAGGCTATCAGGGCTGGTTACCAGTGACTATATTTTTCCAATCACACAATCATGGCGAGATATATAGAACACTGGGCCTGAAGTCAGAAAGACCTGAATTCAAATCCAGTCTCAGACACTTACTAGATGGGTGACCCTGGGCAAGTCACTTACTCTCTGAGTCAGCTTTGGTTTTCTCAGCTGCAAAATTAGGATAATAGCACCTACCTCCCAGGGTTCTTATAATAATTGTAAGGTGCTTAGTAGAGTAACTGGCACATGGTAGGCACTTAATAAATGCTTTTTTTCCTTCCTTCTTGCTTTCATTCCTCTCTTCCTTCCTTTCTTCTTTCTTCCCTCTTTCTTTCCTTCCTTTCCTCCTTCCTTCTTTCCTTCCTTCCCTCCTTTGTTCCTTCCTTCTCTCCCTCTCTTTCCTTCTTTCCCTCCCTCTCTCTTTCCTTCCCTCATTTCCTCCCTCCTTCTTTCCTACCCACCTTCCTTCTTTCTCTCTCTCCTTCCTTCCTTCCTGGAACCACTCAGATTAAGGAGGAATCTGGGTGTCTCTTGGAGGTACAGTGGAAAGTGTATTAGATTTGAAGCAAAAGGACTTGGGCTCAAAACCTCTCTCAGTTACTATTTCTGTGACTTTGAACAAGTCACTTAGCCTCTCTGGGCCTCAGTTTCCTTATCTGGAAAATAAGAGGGATAAACTGGATGCTCTTCAAGGTCCTTTCCAGCTCTAAATTGACAATCCTATGATTTTTAAAGGCTGAGATCCCCACTGAGGGGGCGATGGTAGAAATGTGGTAATACATCAAATATTCCCATCTCAGATACCTGCTCCCACTCATTGGTCCTTAGCTAGCTAAGAGGGTAGAAACTAACCCTGAATGATGGTTATGCAATACCTGCCACAGAGGTGCACTTACAGAAATGCTAGCTGACTGACTGATCGATGGTGGTTTGGAATCTGGGAAACTTGGCCTGGTAGCAAAGGAAATTAGCAGGTGGGACCCAGTAGGGTTAGCTGGGCCTCTTCTCTTTTTGCACACTAATCATTTATGGCACAATTAAAGGTGGCAGAAGAAGGCCTTCATGACACAGAAACTAATAACAGAGGGGTTAACAGAGGAGTGATTTATAATTCTTTTCAGGAAAGACTGTTTCCTTTAGGACTGCATCTAATTAACTTCCAGGGTTGCCGTTTAGAAGTGGATATTTCATAGCAATGAATTTGGGATTAAAACACATGGCTAAGGCCAGGACCGGCCTCTTTTAGGAAGTTATTACAAACTTTTTAATCTCTTTATTTGCTCAGGGACTCCTGGAGTAAATAACTAGTGCCTTCTCTAACCTCTGGCCCTAATCTGTCTAGGGATGCCTACTGATTGTTGCCACTGCAAAGCTTACCCTGCATGTGCTCGCTCCTGGAGAACTTGGGAAAGAGCCCTGTGTAGCTGCCAATGAACTTGAACTCCTGGCCGTCCCAAAGTACCAACTGTTGGATGCTCCTTGTCCCGTTGGCTTTCTGATACATGGTCACGAGCACCATTTCCCAGGGGATCATTTTGAGCTACAAAGGAAAAACAAGGAGGCATCAGCCCTGGGGTGGCGATTCAGGTCGGGGCTCAGGGTAGGTATGGATTGAAAGGAGAGAAGACTTCTGAAAGGTGGAAGAGTTTAATTACACCTTGGGTTTCTTGGGATGGAGCATTAGACTCGGAGTTAGCGCACCTGGGTTGGAGTTCGGTGTCTTGCACTCAATAAATACTTGTCAGTTTGGATAATGATTTCATTAGGATAGATATTCTGTTCTATGTGAGGAGGGCCACATCAGCCAACATTACTGTTCATTGTTATCAGTCTGAGAATGGGGCCCCCTAGAAGAACTTGGACTCAGGAGGGGTATATTTTAACAGAGGGGTTCTTAACCTGGGGCCGGTGAACTTCTTTTTAATATCTTTATAATTGTGTTTCAACATAATTGGTTTCCTTTGTACTCCTACATATTTTATTTTATGCATTTAAAAATGTGATTTTAGCAGAGGATTCTGGGAAGATGGTGGAGTAGGTCAGAAAATTTTAGACTCTCCAAATTTCCTCCACAAAAAAAAAAAGACAAAACACGATTTTGAGAAATGGTTCATAGGCTTCACCAGACTGCCAAAGGGGTCCATGAATCAAAAAAGGTTAAGAAGCCCTTTTTTAATGGAGAAGACTTAGGAAAAAGTCAGAGTATGGGGCACTGCCAAGTGGAAGTCTTTGGGTAATCAAGGAGTAGCATGTGCTTCAGATGAAAGATGGCACCCGAAAGAGGACATATCAGGAGCGGTAGAGGGGCATAGAAGACCGAAACCAATTTCATCTACTTGACAAGTGGCACTTGACTTCTTGACACTTTCCCTAGGAAACAAAGAGTCTGCCACTTTTGTGACCTAGCTATAGCACTGGGCTCTGGCTCCCACACAGGACCTCCAAGTTGCTGTTCCTTACCTGGGGAATTGTATGCATCAGCTCAGTCACTTGAGTGAGGTTGGATGCAGTAACTGTCAGCTTTGTGGCCACGTGGAAATGGTGCTTTTCCAGGTCAACGGCAATCATGCTTTCGGCTTCACTCATGGAGTAACTCACCTAGGTGGGTGAGAGGGCAAAACGAAGTTGCTTCATCAGGAATCTGAGGGAACATTTCACAACTGATCTGGGCATAGTTTGCCAACCCCTGGCATAATAGATAAGGTGCTCAACTCAGAATCAAGAGGACCAGAGTTCAAATCTTGCCTCTGACACTTACTAGGTGTATGACTGTGGACTAGTCATTTCATTGCTTTCGGGCCCAGGTTTTCCATTTGTGAATAATAATAGCATTTATCTCAAAAGGGTTGTTGTGAGTCCTAAATAAGATGTTATATGGACAGGGCTTTGCAAATTTTAAAGTGCTATATAAATGTTAGTTACTATAGTTACGTTCCATATGTATAGGTCTATACACATATTCATATGATATATCCTGGTTACAAAGCACTTTACCCATCTTATTGGAGCCTCACAAAAACCCCGTGTGGCAGGTCATAAGATCATAGATCTGGAGCTCAAAGGGAAATCAGAGGTCATCTAATACAACCCCCTTCATTTCACAGTTGATGAAACAGAGGCCTGGGGTTGGTTAATTGACTTACCCAAAATCACATTTCAGAAGCAGGATTTGAACCTAGATCCTCTGGCTACAGAGCCAGTGCTGTTTCCACTGTATCATGATGAGTTCCAAAGGTGATGCAGTTATCATACCCATTTTACAGATTGGGAAGTTGCAGCTCACTCTAAGTTACATAGTTGGGAAGTGTCTGAGGTGGGAATCAAATCCAGGCATATGCCTTTCCACTACCATAGGTAAACAGCTCGTCACCACTCACCGTGACCTCATGGCTGAGGATTAAGTTTAAGGCTAGCCACAGTCCTGGGGCTGGTAGGAGAGACAGCTGCTTTTAACTGTGTCTGTTTTAGCCTCAGGGTGAGAAACAGCCCTTCTGGGCTAATGGGCCTCTGCAAGTCTGATTGCTCTTCAGAGCTCTTCTGAGCTCTCTGCTGACCCAGACTCCCCAAGGAAGAGGAGGTAAGAACAAGAAATCAGCATGTGTCAGACATCTCCCGTTTGGGACAGGCCCCTTGCTCTGCCAGCAGACATAGGACACAAGGGTGATAAAAGAAACGCTGAACAACTTGTGTTGGGAGACGTCGGGTCAACCATTTGCTTGGAAAAAGAAAACCTTTGAGCTTGGGAGACAAAGTCTGAGATGATGAGAAGCTAGAATAGCAAACAGAGCATTTGGATGGTCTAGGACCGCTCTTTAATCTATCCCAGACTCTGAACTTGGGCCCTACCAACAGGATGCACTGCGGGAGAATCTCCAGGGAGCTGGGGATCAGATACACTCGCCAGAGGGGCTTGGGATGGAGGGTGCCAGGCAAGCCTGCTAAGGAATGCAAATACCAATGGGGTTTTTAAAAGCTGGAGCCCCATTTCTGAAGGGCAGCCTGGGGCAGCCCACCTGGGGTTTTCTTTAGCTCCCTTAATCACACATGAACACATTAACCAATTCTTCTGTGTCACTAACACTGCCCCTCCAAATCTCAGCTGGCCTCCCTCTCCCTTTCAACCTACCCCTCTCCTTCAACTTTCCACTTTGGAGGGCAGCCATGAGAAGAGAAAAAATGATGCATGTGGAATGAGTTAAGAGCCAGAAGAGTTCAGGGACTGGCCAAGAGAGGGACATGGGCCTCAGGGAGCAGTTACCTTGGTGGAAAGCTTGGCTGTCCTAGGGAAGTGATTGAGGAGGAAGGAGAGATGCTGTTGGCTGGTAACATACAGTTCTTTTCTGGAAAAGAGAATCATAGAGTTTCAAGTGATCTTAAAGGTCATTTAATCTAACCCCCTCCTTTCATAGAGGAGAAAACAGAGGACCACAGAGTTTAGGGTCACATCACACATGAAGTAAGTGGCAGGATTGGGATTAGAACTCGGAGCCGTTGGCCCTGAATTCAACACTCTTTTGATTGTACCATATTGTCCTCTGAATGGAAAGTATAGTTTGAGAAAAAAGAACACAAGTATTTTCCCAACTAGGATTTCAAAGATGGGAGTCAAACATTCAAACTAATAATGGCCTCTGATAAGGACATACAGAGCAATCTCGGGAGATTCCCTCTTATTTTAGCAGGGCAGTCCAGGCCCATTATTATATTGGTGCAGAGAACCTATAATATAGGAAATCCCCTCCACCAGACAGATTGACATTTCTTCTATAATTTATAGTCTAGAGAATTGTCAGGGAAACTTAGAGGTTAAGTGACTTGCCTAGGGTCTTATAGTCGTTATGTGACAGAGGCAGGATTTGTCCCCAGGTTTTCCTGACCCCAAGGCTGTCCCCCTATCCACTATGAGGAATCTAATATCACAGTCAATTCAGATGGAAAAGTCACAAAATCACAGAATACTACAGTTAGAGGGGGGCTCATACATTGTCTAAGTCAACCCTTCCACTTGACAGATGAAGAAACTTTCACAGAGAATGGAAATGTCTTGTTGAAAATCTCACTACAAGTTAGTAGCAGAGGCAAGGCTAGAAACTAGGTCTTCTGGCGCCTGGTTTAATGTTCTTTTCACTACATTGCCTTCCAAGGGCCAGGTCAACATAATTTTTTTTCCTAAATGGAAACCCATCAAACCTGGGGTATGTGAGGGTAAGATACCTCTTAGCAAAGCATATTCCCTTTCCCTAGGTCACGGGATCATCAATTCAGAGCTTAAAGGAACCATGGAGGCGACTCAGTCCAATTCCCTCATTTAAACCACAAGGAAAATGAGGCACAGATAGGTTAAGTGATTTGTGCATGGTCATTTAGCTAATAAGTATTTTATCCAGGCCCTTCTCCCTGCCCTACCTGCCTCTAAACATGCTACGAGTCCATGACCAAAGGGCTCTGTGAGTGTCTGGAAACCCAGATCCGAAGACCTTTTCCTCACCTGAGTGGTTGATTCCTTCCCCTCACATGAATGAGAAGACTTGTTTCAGACTCACAGGTTACTTCCAAGGATGTTTTCATTTCACTGGCTGCCAGGATTTCCTGGAATAACAACTAGTAGGAGAAAGAGGATAGACTAATATAGCAAGACTAATCCAAAATGGTAGATGATTTTAAAATCACTTTTTAAAATTTCAGAATGCATGAGATGATTTTTCACAGCAGATTTACCTAGGAGACCAAGTAAGGCTAATCATATTTCTTGTAAACATACCAACTTGACCTGAGAAAAATATTTCAGGTAGCTGGGGAGGGAGCCAGCCTGGAGTAAAACTTTTTTCAACCCATGGTCCATCCAGAAAGTGGCTAAAGTATGCAGATAATGGTTGGGAAGCCGAAGTGACTAACCCCTGTAGCCCTTCCAGGTGTGGTCCCTTCTCAGGGACCAGAATAATCACCTCCTCTCATTACCTGGGTTGTGAAGGGCAGGCCCAGCTGCCTGAGAATTGGCACTGTGTGTTGGATGTGGGCCACAAGCTTGAGGGTCCCATTTAGTTCCAAGGACATCAGAGCTGCCAAATCCACACTGACTTTCCTGTCTCCTCCCTGGATGTCCACGCTGCCCTGGGTCTGGGTTTCTAGATGTGGAAGGACAAAAATACTCAGTAATGGCAAGGCAGAGAGGTACAGTGGAAAGGGTATGGCTCTGGGGTCATAAGACCTGGATTCATATTCCTCACCTCTGACATTTAATACCTGTGTGACCTTGGGCAAGTCACTTAAGAGTCAGGAAGACCTGAATTCAAATCCAGTCACAGACACATGCTAGCTGTGTGACCCTGGGTGAGTCACTTACCCTCTATGCTTCAGTTTACTCATCTATAGAATGAGAGGGCTGGACTAAATAATCTATGAGGATCCCTTTTCAGTTCCATTTCATGTCACATACTATGTATGATAGGATATTTCCTTACGCCCTTGGCTAGATGTCACTGTCACATGGTCATTCTGCTCCCCTTTGTTCCTTTCCAAAAGAAGGAAGGAACAGGAATGGAGACCACAGTGAGGGTGACGTTGCTCTCTGTGGTCTCCACCAATGGGTAGAGAAAGCTACAAAGCCTATCTCCATGGAGAGCATCTTTCAGTCAGCCTCAATCTAGTAATTTTCTTAGACTGGAAGGGACCTTTAGATCATCGAAACATTGATTAAGAGTTGAAAGGAACCTCAGACGCCATCTTGTACAAACCTTTCGTTTTACAGAGGAGAAAACTAACACCCAGAGGATTAAGTGACTCACCCAGGGTCACAGAGTCACAGAATTTGAAGGCTGGAAGGGACCTCAGCATCTGTCCAGTCTAACTCATATACAAGAGGAATCCTCACTATAACATCCTGGGGTCATCTGGCCTCTGCTTGAAGACCTCCCAGGTGGGAGAATCTAACATCTCTTGAGTTGGCCCATTACCCTTTGGGAAAACCCTAATTGTCAGGAAGCTTTGTTTTCTCCCTATGTCAACTCTAAATTTTCCTTTTTGTAGCTTCTACCCATGGCTCCCAACTCTACCCTATAGGGCCAAACAGAACCAATCTCACTGTTTCCTCCACATAACAATCCATTAAATTCTTGAAGACTGTTATCTTGTCTTCCCTGAGTCTTCTTTTTTCCAGTTCCTTCAGTCAATCCTCACATGACATGGACTAAAGGCCCTTCACCATCTTGTTACCTTTCTCCAGACTCTCTCCATCTTATCAATGCGCTCTTAAACTGTGGTAGTCAGGACTGAGCAAAACCATCCAGGTCAGGGCTGCTGAGGGCAGAGCACAGTGGAAACACGATCTTCCTGTGTCTAGCAGATATGCCTTTCTTAATGCGGTCCAACACTGCTCCACCCCACATGGGTAGGGGCAGAATCCAATTCAAGCCCTCTGGCTCCAAATTCATTGCTGTCTACACTAAACCACATCGACTTCTTTCTTCAGAGGTCAACTGTGCTGTCTGCTTGCTTGTGACCAGAATCACAAGTAAACTGTGTCAAAGAGATAAGTCACACTTCATCAGGTCTAGAAGGGATTTTAGAGATCATCTGATATAGTAATGATGATGATAGCTAATATTTCCACTTTAAGATTTATAAATCACTTTATATAGATTATCTCATTTGATTTCACAACAACCCTGTGAGGTAAGTGCTATGATTATATCTATTTTATAGATGAAGAAACTGAGGCAGGTAAAGGTGAAGTGACTTGCCCAAGTATCTGAAGCAGTATTTGAACTCAGGTCTTCCCATCTCCTGTGCCCTGTCTACTCTGCCACCTGACTGTCTCATGATAGATTTCATTTTGCAGATGATGGAAATGAAACCCAGAAGGGATTAGTGACTGACCCAAAGTCATGTACCTGGCTAGTAGCAGTCCACGGAAATTCGAAGCCAAACCCAGAGACAACTAAGTCAAAGCTCTTTCCCCTAAAATATTCTGCTTCTCTGAAACTCAGTTTTTTATTGCGTTTCTTTTTTTAAGTTCTGTAATATAGGAGACTCTAAAGTTCTTTCCAACCACCTCTTCCAAAACCCAGGAACCTTCACTGTCAGGAAATTATTCTCTCTCTTACTTGAAACCCTCACATTGTATCTCAAAATACTTTTGGAAAACTAAGACCCATTATGAGCAAATCTGGGATTCTTCATTTGGAAAGCTAAATCTTGTGATACATTCCCTCCAGATATGCCTAACCATATTTCCTACTTCATGGGCCCAATGGGAAAAATGCTTTCAAAAGTTCCTTTGACATTGCAAGCAAGGCAGCTTCGTGGATTCCTGAGGGGCGTCCATGAAGCCACTTTCTGAGGGTCCATGGCAGATGGTGCTGAAGCCCCGCTTCCTTGCCAGCGAGCCTTCCTTTCTCCCACACAATGAAAATGTCAAGCTGTCAGCTCTGTATGTTCTTTCCCCTGGCTGAGAAAGCCTGCTTTTCAGCACCGCAGTAAAAGCTGGGAAAATATCAGTTCTTTGAGTCTTGGAAATGATTTTCTCAGACTTCAGGGAGTTGATGTTTGGAAGAAGAAAACCATGTTTCTAGATAACCCCCAAAACGAAGTGGTCATTTTTCCCCCTAGATTATAAAATCCTTGAGGGCAAGAACCATGTCTTATTCACCTCTTCATTTTTTTTTTCATTTTTAAAACATAACATAGTGCCTCATACACAATAGGTGCTTAATAAATACTTGCTGGTGCTTAATAAATGTTCTTAGTTCATCTTCCAGTTTTTGCTCTGTATAGACTAACTAGGATTTTCAAACCAGAGCAATGGTTTAAGTTACCACTGCATAGACTGAGTGCTGATTTAACTTCATTCCCCCAATCACGTAATACTTATGAGATACCTATGATTATTTGAATAAACCACAAACTCTCGATGATCTGCAGCAACAAAGGGTATAAGAAGCATGTCTTGTATAAGATGGAAGGCTGAATTAAACCACATGATCATCAGCCCAGAGTGAAAAGGGACCTTATAGTCATCTAGTCCAATGGAATGGGATAAGGAAGCTGAAGCCTGGGGAGGTTGGGACTTGCTCATGATCGTATAGCTAGCAACTATTAGAGGCAGAATTTGAAGCCGGGTATTCCTGTCTCCAGATTCAAAAGTCTAACCACTATGTCATGCCACCTCTCTGAGAAGAAGTAATCCAAAACTTTATTTCCGCCATTTGCTAACAACTACTTTCCCCATCAAAAATTTCCTCAGATTTGCTTTCACAGGGTCTTTTCCCCACACTAGTCACATCCATCCTGAGATGCCCAAGGTGCAGGCATAGAAGAAAGAAGAAGAGGAACCAGGAACCTAGATAATGTACATACCAGACAAACAGCCTCTAAGACTTGACTACAGTTCAGTCCCTTTTAGTAAAGTCCCTCTTTCATCTTCCACAAGTTTACCAGTCCCCCTGGGGCAGCTAGGTGGTACAGTAGATAAAGACTGGGCCTGAAGTCAGGAAGACCTGAGTTCAAATCCTGCCTCAGATACTTACTAGACGTGTGTCCCTGGGCAAGTCACTTAAGCTCTCTCACCCTCAATTTCCCCCTCTCTAAAATTGGGATGAGTAATAGCACTTCACAGGGTTGTGAAGATCAAAAGAGAATAGAGATGCAAAGTACATGCAAATAGTGCTAGCTATTAAAAACAGAAGTCCCTAGCATCCCTACAACCCAAAGATTACTGGCTAAGGTCAACTACTTTAAATGTACAATAGATACTTGCTGACTGCTTGATTGGGCCAGAGAGGCAATGGCAGAGAGTAGGCTGCCTTCTGACATGTCCTCAGGCAAGAGTAAAAATCTGGACCCAGTTCTTGCCCCAGGAAGGAGATAGAAGACCAGTATACCTTACTTACCTTGTGTCTGTAGCACTACCGTGAGGCCAACCACCTCTGGGTAGCCAGTTCCTTCCCTCAGAGCACTGCTGTTATGTCTACTCCAGCAGGAGAACGCCATTTGCTGTCTGGTATAAGAACAGCTCGTGGTGTAGTTGAGAGACGTCTGCCCCACCAGAATGTTCACGGAGCTATCAATGTTGAAACTGGTTCCTTGAAGGTACATTACAACCTGAAATAACACAAAGGTGTTGAGCCACCATCCTAAACTCCTCACTTGTTATCCTCTGCGAACAACAACAAAAAACCCCAACAATCCAAACCCATCACCTCCTGAACTCCCACAGAATAAGTTCACTTTGGCTCCTGTGATGCTTTGGGCTTCATGGACCCTCCATACATTATTCAAGGATCTGATCCAGCTAGAAACATTTCATCTTTTTCTACCAGATTATTACATAAGAATTGATCTCACATGTAAAATACTCACTTTGTCGAACAAAAAAATGAAAACCGAGTTAAACGATCCTAGAATCTGTGGGCTTAACTGTGCCTTCAGAGGTCATTTTATCCATCCCTCCCTCTTTGGACAATATGGTACCTAGTCCTTTACAGGAAGAACATTGCTCAAATGGGGTCATGAAGAGCAGGACATGACTGAAACAACTCGATAACAATAAAAATCTGAAAGGCCTGCAAGGATGCAGGGATACAAGGGGAGAGAAGCCCACGAACCATCTTGCTTCCACTTCCTCACTGGTGGGGGAATTCAACCCACTATTAGTGGGAGGCCAGGGCCAACAGCTATGCTTACCCTCTGTGGTACCAGGATACTACAGGGATTCAAGCAATGCTCATTCCTCCTGGGTGAGTGGGTGAACAGGGTTTTCATGAATTAAGATAGAAGCATTTCATGGGGCTATGGAAAAGGAACCTGAGGTCTGATGTACCTGAAGTGATTCTGGGAGTCCACACTGCAACAACACAGGCCAGTTATGCCAGAGGGTACCAGACCAGGAATGTCTGGTTGTGGTGCTCTGGCTTTGGCCTCCAAAGATGATGATGCCTGAGCCATACTGAGCCCTGCCACTCAAGTTCTTGGCTGCTTGGTGGTCCAGAGAGACCTGGGTGTATAGGATTTAAGTCAGAGAAGAGTTCTTTTTCTTTGAGCTCTATCTATCATTGTCAACTTGGAATGGTGGGAACCAAGTAGAGTTCTACAGTATCTCAGAGCTGGGGTGAAAGGTTGGACCAGAGAAAGAGTTCTCAACCTGGGGTATGTAATCTTGGTTTTTTGGGGTTTTTTTTTTGTTTGTTTGTTTGAGATAATCGGAGTTAAATGACTTGCCCAGGATCACACAGCCAGTAAGTGTCTGAGGCCAGATTTGAACTCAGGTCCTCCTGACTTCAGAGCCAATGCTCTATCCACTGTGCCACCTGACTGCCCTTTGTTGTTTTTTTTTTAACATATATTTTGATGAATGTATTTAAATATAATTGGCTTCCTTTGCCATCATGTGTTTTTTATGCATTTAAAAACATTATTCAGAAAAGGGGTCCATAGGCTTCACCAGACCTCCAATGAGGTCCATGGCACAAAAAAAGTTTAAAACTCTAGGTTGAAATCAAAGAACACAGAATGTTAGAGCCGGAAGGAATATTTGAGTTCCTCCAGTCCAACCCTCTCCTATATAGATGAGGAAACTGAAAGCAAAGAGGTCTAAATCACAGCTCTAGTCTTAGAAATTATCTAGTCCAACCCCATCCTCCTCACTTTGTAAACTGAGGAAACTGAGGCCCGAGAGGGGAGACACAGGATCAGTAAGGGCAGAATTCAAACCCAGGTCCTCTGATTTGAAAACCTGGTTATTTTTGTTTTTCCCTTCTACAACTTGCTTCTCCTTAGGAAGTAATTTACGCAAGGTCGTAGGACTAGTTAATGGAAGAGCTGAGACTATAAGCTGGGTCTTCTGGCTGTTAGCTGAATGGACCTTCAATTCTACCAAGTTGCCTCCCTAAAGGTATTTCAAACTAACTGTCTTTTGGGGAGATTAGAGAGAGGCCTGAGAAATGGTGAGAGGGGCAACCTACCTGCAAGTCTATCTTATCTTCTAACCCCAATGCCTGCAATGTTGGGACATTGTGTCGGATTTTGTAGTCGAGGGAAATGTAGTCTGATTGTTGAGTGAAGCTGAGCTCTTCAGAAATCTGTTGGCCATTAACAAAGGATACAAAAGATCAGCTAAAATGGCAGTGTTCACAGGACTCCTCCCTCAATGCTGTGTTGGACAGCGTCCAAAGGGCCTTTCCCTCTCACCTGCTTGCTGTCCATGCCAAACCGGATGGTACGCCTGTAACTATGGTTACTTCTCACTGTGGTCACATCTGCCAGGGTCCGAGTTGGGATGCCAAAGTGGAGAGCATCAGGGAGGTTGTGGGTAAACAGCATGTCTAGTTCTTGGTGTGTCTGGGTCAAGTGAAAAAGAAATGGGAGCCACAAATGCCAAAATATTCATTGCAGCATTTTCTGTGGTAGCAAAGAATGGAAATAAAGTAAGTGCTCATGGATTGGTGAAAAGGTTAAATGAATTGTGGTGAATTAATGCAGTGGAGTTTTACTGTGATGTGAGAAATGATGGGAATGACGAATTCAGAGAAGCATGGAAAGACATATGAACTGATGTAAAGTAAAATAAATAGAAGCAGGTAACCAACATACACAATACCTACAGCAATTTAAAGAGAAAGAAAAACAAAAAAATTAAACTGATTGCTGTGTAATTATAATGGCCAAGATTGACCCTAGAAAAGAGTAGATAAAATGTACCACATAAACCATGAATGTGTAATATTGCATAAACTATCAGAAATAGTTTAGTTGCTTTAGTTAAAATTTTTTTTCTCCTTTTTAATGTCTGTTAAAAGGATGATGATTCACTGCATAGGGAAGAGGTGAAAAAGATGTTCAGGAATGAAGATGATGTAAAAATAAAACAAAAGCTGTCAATAAAAATAAGATTTTAAAAAGGGAGTTGGAAAGAAAAGGAGAATGAATACTAGGGGGAAAGTCACAGTTTCTTGCTGAGGATATTCCTTGGATTCTCTATTCCCACTGCTCAGGAAATTAGGGCCTTAAATAGCGGGATCATAACTTTAGAACTGGAGGGGATTGTAGAGCTCATCTTGCCAAACCCCTTTATTTTTTGGATGAGGAAATTGAGACCCGGAAAGGTAAAGGGACTTAACCAGGGTCTCATATGTAATGAGGCTTTGCTTTGAGCATCTCCAGATCCCCTAATATGGAGGCACCCACTTGGGAGATACCAGGGATTTGCTTCTGGGAAGAGACATTCTGTGTTCCCCTACCACATGGATGGAAATAGCCTTTTTCCATTGGCTACATAGCCAGAACAGGCTGAACTTTAAATCTACCAGACTGAGACAATCTGACTTTATTTCTTTCTGGTGGTATCCAGTAGGAGTTAAAGGTCCTGTTCACCCACAGAATGGGTACCAAGAACTGACCTGGGTGAGGGAAGGTAGCCCTTGCCCCTTGGGGCCCCTTGGACCTGAGAAAAGGGATTGGGACTTTGTCTGTCTAGGTCGTCCTTTTCAGAGTCTCTGGTCCCAGACTCAAGCCCCAGTGGCTTTGGAGACAGGATTCCAGGCCAGATGTTGTAGCCAGTCTAGCAGGAAAGCCCTGAGAAGCCAAGGTGACCATGGCTTGAACCCAAAGAGGAGCTCTGGACTTGGAACTTGGCGGGACTAGGCAGTGTGGGAACTGTGGGAATTTGTGAACCTAATCCTCCCTCCTCCTCCCCAGAGACTGAGGTGGCTTAAGGAGGAATTTCCATGCCTGTATGTGGTGGGGGGAGAGGGGTTTTAATGTGTGTGCTTGCTATAGCTTGCTATATGTAGCAAATATTTCTTTGTAAAAGTTAATTTGACTGGTAAATGGTTTAATTGAACTGGGGTGAAGGAGACTCCCTAAAATTGAGGGAAAGGATGAAGTTAAGGGCAGAGACACTAGACAATCCCCTAAAATGGGAACTGGATAACCCTGGAGGAGGAGGTGAAATGTAACAAGTATGGCCTTCAGGCAGTGGGAGACCAGAGGAGTCACTAGTTCACACAGATAGTAAATTGACAGAGAAAAGATCCAAACCCAGGTCTCCTGATGCTAAATGGAGAACTCTTCCCACGGTACTACACTGCCTCATCCTCAGAGCAGAAGGAAGTCTTTAATGCCTTACCCCTTGGGGTTTTTCTCTTATGTGAAGAGCCCTGGCCTTTCCCAATTTCAAAACTTTCATCTTTCATTTTCTTCTAGGTAACATGAATGAGTACTCATGCAGAGTATTTAGCACAGTGCCTGGCATATAGTAGGTGCTTAATAAATGTTTATTGATTTTTTTTTTACTGTCAGAGATTCTCCCCAGACTCTAGCTCTGTCAGAAGAGAGTTAGCTACTCAGGGTGCCTTTCAAACCCAATATCCAGTACTTGGCTCATGACCCACTCACCTCAGTGGCCTTCAGGACGAGAAGGCCTCGAAGGGTGCTGTCATCTACAGTGACCAACATCTGGGCATCCAGATCCATACTGTTCACCACCACGTAGCCTGAACCATCAATCCGACGTGGGGCCCCAAGAGCCTGGAGAGGTTTAAAAAAAGCCACCAGGTCATAGGATCACAGTGTTTAGAGTAAAGAGTTAAAAGGGACTTTAGAGGTCTTCTAATCCAATACCATTATCATCATCATCATCATCATCATCATTGGTGCCAGAATCTGTGAAATTTACAAGGTGCTTTACAAATGCAACAACAGCCACTCACAGGCCCAATCCCAATACTGGCCAGCATGAAAGTTTTGACCTGCTTCATTTTTCTCACCTGGGTTAGTTCACCCCTCCTTAGGCAACCTTGTGGCCTCTACTCATAAGGGCTTACCATATTGGTACCGTACAATTGATTTTAGCCCTACTGCATCTCAGAACTCCAGAGCTCAAGCAATCCACCAGCCTCAGCCTCCCCAGCAGTAGGGCCCATAGGCAGAGCTTATTTTTTCGGCTTATTTTCATTATTACTCAGGCGAATCATTATTATCATTACAAAGCATTCATTAAGCACTTAATGGTCCTTCTAGCTATGCCTGGTACTGCATAATGACTGATTTCCCATTAGACCTACACTGGTTTCTCTTAGGTTTTGGCCATGTGAGTTAATGTTTATTTCTGCAGTCTGTTTAAAGTCTTCATCTCTCCTATCCTTAAAACACACACACACACACACACACACACACACACACACACACGCACACAACTATATCCCTATCATCTCTTATAGCTATCATCCTATATCTCTCCTCCCCTTTTCAGGTAAATCCTTGAACATGTCATCTACACACTTCATTTCCTCTAATCCTCTTGAAAATTTTGCAGTCTGGTCTCCAACCTCATCATTCAATTGAAATTACTCTCTCCAAAGCTACCAGTCATCTCTTAAATGTCAAAACTAATGGTGTTTTCTCCATCCTCATCTTTCTTGATCTCTCTGCAGTCTTAGACACTGGCAACTACCTGTTCTTCCTAAGTATTCTGAGTTTTTGTGAAACCATCTTCTTGGTTCCCCTCTCTGACCTGTCTGGCCATTTTTTCTCAGTCTCTAGCTGGATCTTTACCCATGTTATGCCCATTATCCCAAGGCTCTGTCCTGCTCACCCTTCTTTTTTTCTCCACACCACCCTGTCATGGTGATCTCCCAAGGGTTCAATTATTATCTCTATGCAGCTTATTCTCAGAGCACCACCAACTGCCTATATGACATTTCAAAGTAGATGTCCCATAGGTCCCATTATCTTTCTCTTTCTTCTGAACATTTCTGTTACTGTTAAGGGTACTGCCATTCTCCCAGTCACCCAAGTTGGAAACTTCAGTATTACTCTTGGTTTCTCACTCTCACTCACCCCACATATCCACTCAATTGCCATATCTTGCTGTTTCTACCGCCATAACATTTCTTGTACACATCTCCTTCTTTGTACTCACAGAGCCACCAATCCTTCATCACCTTTTATTGGACTACTGTAGTAAGACTCCTAATTAGAAGTCTCTGTCTCATGTCTCTGTCTATTCCAACTGGTCCTCCACACAACTCCCAAAATAATTTCCCTAAAGTGTAGATATAACCATGTCAAACCCATACTTCTACACACAAACTCAACAAACTCTAGTAATAATAATAATAATAATAAATGTTTGTTTGTCCTTCATTTTCAAAGAGGATCAAAACTCTGCCTTATTTAAATCCAATCCAAGCACGAGTCAATAATAATAAATAACATTTCTAGATTGCCTTATTATGTGCCAGGCACTGTGCAAAGCACTTTGCAAATATTAAGTCAACTGATCCTGGCATATAGGTGCCCTTTTTATGACCCTCACTTTACAGGTGAGGAAACAGAGGCAAACTGAGGTTAACTGACTTGCCCAGGGTCACATTGTTAGTATCTCAAGAAGATCTGAACTCAGGTCTTCCTGATTCCAGGCCCAGTGCTCTACTCAGCATGCCAGCTACTTGCCTCTCTATTAGTATCTCTCTATTACTTCTAGGACCAAATATAAAGCCCTTTATTTGGCATTTAAAGCTTCTCACAATCTGGATCCTTCCCATCTTTTGTTGTCTTACAAATACCTTCCTTTCATGACTCTATGGTCCATCCAAACTGGCATACTTGTTATTTCTCATTAACCATGCTCCAACTCCCATCTCCCTGCCTGAAAGACACTTCTTTTTCATGTCTACCTCTTAGAATCCCTGGCTTCCTTCAAGACTGAACTCAAATGTCACCTTCTGCCCTTCCCGGTCCCCCCAGGTCCTAATGCCATCTTCTCTATGGTTGCTTTGTATCTACTATACTCTGAAGGCATCTGTATCTTGCTTAAATTGATTTATGTGCACTTTGTCTCCCCCATTAGAATAGCCCCTTGAGGGCAGGGGCTGTTTTCAGTTTTTCTTTGAATTCCCAGCCCTTAGCAGACTGCTTGACAGACAGATTGTAAGCACTTTGGTGACTCATTGCTTTTCCTGCCCAGTCTCACAGGTTGGGGAGCACAAGGTCCCACCCGCTTCCGATACCTCTCCCTCCAGAAGTACCTGCAGTGCTTTGCAGGAATTCTCCACCAGCCCCCTCCACTGGAACTTTCTCTCCAGTTGCAGATCCCCATTGGCTTGGATTTCACAGGCTCCTGATCTCAGCTTCAGGTCCAGCTGGTACTTGGTCTGTTTTCCAGCTTGAAAAGACAGCTTGGTCTCCTCTGGAATGGCCCAGAGCTCTGGCAAGGTGTGCCTGAATATGGCCCGGATGGTGAGCTGTGGTTGGCACGCTCCCCTGAGTTCCAAGAAGGCTGTCTGGCCACCCGTCAAGAGGGTGCAGAGCAGCTTAACCTGACAGCCGGCAACCTGAGTTGATCCATTGAGGTGCATCTGGGCGGGGATTCCAAGGTCCTACCACCAATCAGATAAAATGCCCCCATCAGCTCCACACCAAGGATTTCTTACTGCCCCTCAAGCATTGCTCCTCTTGGCTAATCCCATTTGTACGACCAGACTAAACACTTTAATCACAGATGTCTTGGCATAGGAGAAAGCATGTTGGATTGGAGGGGAGAGAATAATTAATGTGCTCATAAATGCTAAAGAGTTGCTAAGCAGGGTGTGGGAGTATGGGAAGCCATTAGATTGATGAGGGTCAGAAGATAGGCTGGCAGGAAGTTAGACTAGACTAACTGGATGAAAGGCAAATTGCAGCCCAAGTGTCCAGATGTCTGGAACGAGGATTAAGGAGTGAGAGGAGGAATGAGTCAGTGAATGATTAGAGAAGGAGAGATATAAATAATCCCCTCACTTTGCAGAAGCACTTTGAGGTTTACAAAGTGCTTTTTGAACAATAAGCCTGCCAGGTTGGTAGTGATAATATCATTAGCCCCATTTTATAGATGAGGAAATTGAGGCTTGGGGAAGTTAACTCTGATTTGCTAAAGCAACTAAGTGTTAACAGCTATGATTTAAACTGAAGTCATCGGACTTCAAACTCATCTTTTTTTGCCACCACACCACATTGCCTGAGGAGAAGGGTTATGTCACTAAGGCTGGAGCTCTAAAAAAGGATTCCCTTCTCCTCCTCCTCCTTCTCCTCCTCTTCTTCCTGTTCCTCTTTCCTCCCCCTTCTTTCCCCTCCCAACTCCCCAAGTGTAGTGAAAATAGAGGCAAAATCAGATTGCCTCAGTCTAGCATTTTTTTCCAGGATGCCACTTAGAGAATCTTAATCTTCCCTCCCTTCCCCACCCACTGCCCTGCAAGGACTTAGAGGGGGTGTCCATCTTTATTGCTTCACAAACAAATCTCACATCCAAATGCACGCATTCAAAATGACCCTAAAAGGACCTTAATCCACATTTGCAGTGTGGTGTGCTGGAAAACTTGCTGAGTTTTGGAATTAAGAGGCCTGGGTTCGAATCCTTGCTCTGATATTAATTATTAAAGAATATTGAAGTCTTAGTCCTTCTCAGCAATGCAAGGATCTAAGTCAACTCCAAAGGTCTCATGATGGAAAATGCTATTCACATCCAAAGAAAGAACTATGGAGTTTGAATGCAAATTGAAGCATACTATTTGCTCTTTTTTTTCGTTTCATTTTGTTTTCTTTTTCTTGTGGTTCCTCCTATTGATTCTAATTCTTCCTTACAACATCACTAATGTGAAAATATGTTTAATAGGAATGTATATGTATAGCTCATATCAGATCACTCACTGTCTTGGGGAGGGAGGGGGAGAAAAACTCAAAATTCAAAAGCTTATGGAAGTGATTGTTGATAAATCAAAATAAATTAATAAAAAAAAGAATATTGAACTCTCAGCTGTAGAGCTAAAACCAGTCAGCCAGAATTTACGAAGCACCTTTCCTTCTTTTTTTGTTGGATAACAATGTTTTCTTGAGATGTGGCTACAAGGCAAGATTTACAAGCTACAGATAACTTCTCAGAATCATTCAGAATCCCACTGGAAAGGTACATAAACTCTTAAGCTTTTCTTGCTAGTTGGGATTATTGGCTGGAAGGGTAATCTATACCAGTCAATAAGTGTCTTAGCAACTGTCTGGTTAATTAATAAACTTGTATTTCTAATAGATCTAGGATCCTAAAACCCAGTATGGAGTGACTCAGCTTATTTACTTTGTCACTCTATGTGACCCTGGCCAGGCTCCTTAACCTGTCAGAGCCTCAGTTTCCTCATCCATAAAGTGGATTGTTTCAAGGAGAGCACTCTGAACTTCCAATGTGTTACACAATTGTAAGTTATAACCATTTGGCATTTCCCACCATTAGTATGATAACGACCACAGGATGCTGTTCCCTTGAGCTTTTCTTTCTCTTCCACCTCGTCTAGACCTACCTGCAGTAGATCACACTCCGTCTCTGTCTCCAGTACCCACTGGGTTCTGTTCCTGGACTGGAACTCCATTCTGCCCTGAAGCCGACACTGCCCAACTTGGAGAGTCAAGGAGCTGTGTGGGGCAGGGCCCAACCCTGCCTGCAGGTGGATGGCACTGCTGGGAGGCAGCCCCAGGCGGCTCAGAGGCCTGAAGGAGTGGTGCAGGCTTCCTTGCACCAAGGGTTTTTGTCTGCAAGAAGTTGCTAAGTGCACATGGGCATCTCCTTCATCGCTCTGGAGGGCCATGGTCAGGTCACCGTCACAGAACCCAGCCCTGAAGGAGCCCCTGGTGGCCAGGCTCTGTGGAAAGCCTGCTTTCTGCAATCATGGAAGAAAAAAAAGTAAAGTTTTATAGAGCATGGGCTATACTTGATGGATCAGAGAGGCTGTAGAATGACCAGAAGAACCCCCACATCCTTAGGCAAATGGGGGGGAAAACAAAATTAGGGGAGTTCTCAAGTCTGGTATACATTGGCTAAGAGGCATTCCCTCAAAGATAATAGATTCTATTTGGCACACGATTTCACTCTGTGAATTAGTTTCCTTGCACCAGGGCCTCTCTGTCCTACATAGCATAGTCACTGGCAGGGGTATGCTGGAGCCAGCTAGTATGGGCTTAGGAGAGCCCACTATTACATTTTCAGTGTGAGCATTTACACCTCAGAAATCAGTAAATGCTACAAATCAGGACTTGATTTATTATTTTGTCTATTGTCTAGACTTCAGAAAGTGATGGAGAAAATGTTCATCATTCAGATTAAACTTAAAAGCGTGTTATGGTTTTCAGAGAAACGGTTATTAAACATTTACCAGCATACCCCTGACTTTAGGGATTACTCTAGGTCAGGTTAATCTTCCCAATGCATGGCTTAGATCACATCTCTCCTTTATGCAGAAATCTTTAATAGCTCCCTCTCCCCCTGCCTACTGCCTGTGAAATAAAGCCCAACTTTCTTATGCTGGCATTCAAGGCTCTTCACAAATAGGCCCCAGTCAATTTACCTTATCTCAGTACTCTCCCTCATGTCCTCCATGCTCCAGCTAAACTAGATGACTACTTGCCATAAACTGTATTTTCTCATCTCTACCCTTGCTGTTTTCTATATCTGGAATGCATTACCTCAAATCCCAGCCATCCTTCAACAGTTAAAATGCATCCTCCATGAAGCCTTCCTTGATCTCTCCTCTCTGGGGAGACTACCATAAAGTGGATCGCTACCACCACCACCACCACCACCATCAAGGGACCTCCCTTCCTCCTCCAAACTCTTATAATATTTAAGTCTTCCCTCTCCTAGGTACTTGCCAAATTTTTTTGATGTTCCACTTATTTACATACCTATCTTATTCCTTTCACTAGATTGTAAGAACCTTGAAGACAGGGACTCTGTCTTATACATCTTTGTATCTTCCTCATGGAGGTATCATATAGAGTTGATACATAAATATTTGCAATCAGTTGATGAACAAACTAATTCACTTAACAATTCAGTCAGCAATAATTCATACACAGGTTAATTTTCAGAATGCTTAGGGCATAATTCATTCTTTTGTTCTTCTGAATGTCTTCTCATGCCGACTTCCAAATGACACTGTAAACTTCCAGAAGGCAAGAAAACAGGCAGTTTACTGCCTTGCCATCTCCTGCAGCTATCACCTAACTGTGATAGCAATGACAGTGACACACTGGTAATAGCTCCTCTTCAACCCTCTTGTTGAGAATGGAATCATTGAGAACAAGGCAAAAGAAAAATATGGCAGGGCGGTAAGTGGGCAAAGGACTGGCAGAAAGTTACCAGCAGAGTTATGCTATACATGATGACTTAAAGACCTAAGAGCCTGATTAATAATAAATATTAATAATTAATAATAATTCTGGATTTGTCAACACTGAGGTAAATTGGAGAAAAGGTCTAATAGCTTTCTACCCTATCTTCTCCATCTCTGCCAAATCTTATTCAACCTTCAAGGTTCAGAAACATTCCCTGGTCACTTCATACATACCACATTCCCTTATCTGAAATTCATTCATTTGCTCATTTAACAAATACTACTAAGCAGCTATTACATGCTGGTCCATGCTAGGTGCTATAGAGAATCCAGGGATATACTCCACAATGCCTAGCACAGTTCTGGATGCTTAGTAGGTATATAACAAGTGTAAGTTGAGTTAAAAGCCAGAGAGAGGAATAAGAAATGTTAAAGGGTCAGGTAATGTAGAATGCACCTGAAAAACTGAGACTGGACTGTACCTCTAATATAGGGCAATGGTTCCCCAGAGAAAGGGTCCAGTTGGTTTGAGTGGTGTTGCTTTCCATCCTGACATCTCCGTCTGCCATCATAGAACATGGGCCTGTAGTCAATTCAAGCAGCACCCTTGGTGCATCCCCTCCTTTGGCTGACACCCTGATGAGGTTCTCTCTGGCAATTCCCAGTTGCTTGAGTAGAGGCCATGAATGTTGAAGCTGAGCTTCCAAGTGGTTGTGGAGACCACAGAAGGTGTGGAAGTGGATGTGGGTAAAGGCTTCACCAGAAGAGAGGTGTCCAACGAGGCTGGACTTGCAGCCATGTGCCAGAAGGGAGCCATTCAGGGACATCACTGCCGGACTCTGCAACCAAGGAAGACTGAGGATGTTAGGGAACTAGTGATCTCAGGCAGCCCTCCACAGCCCACCCATCCTCTCCTGTGGATGAATATGTCATTTCTCCCATAGGCTAAGGATTTTCTTTTGAATAGAGTAGTGTGCAAACTTTGAAGTGGAGAGTTTGACATTTATTCTTGGCAAAAAATTCTGGAACATTTTATCAAAGAGATGCTTTGTTTACATTTAGAAAGGGAAGCAATGTTCATAGCTTCATCAAGAAAGTCATGCCTATTCTTTTCTTGACAATATAACCAGCCTGGTAGTAGATGAAAATGCTATAAATTTATATATTTATATCTCAGCAAAGCATTTAATAAAGTCTCTCATGCTTTCCTTGTGGACAAAGTCAGGAGAAGTAGACTAGATGTCAGGGCAGTTAAGTATATTCAGGATTAGTTGAATGTCTGGATCAAAAGAATAGCCATGAATGGTCTAGTACCAGATCTCTGGGACTTATTCATTACATATACTATGTATAATACACACACACACACACACACACACATACACATATATATATATACATACATATATAGTGAAATGAGCAGAACTAGAACAATTTATACTATTACATTGTAAAGACAAACATGTATATATATATATATAAACACATGTATACATATACATACATGTATATATTGTTTGTGGAGAGAGAGAAAGAGGGAGAGAGAGAAAGGGAAAGGAAGGGGGAAGGGGAGAAATTGAGACAAAGAGAAAAAACATATATATATCTATAGATATAGATATCTATAGATATATATAGATATATATATCTCAGAGATCTCTCCTTGGTTCTAGACTAGTAAACAATTTTATCAATAGTTTGGATAAAGGCTTAGATGGACAGCTGACAAGAAAATGGAAAGAATAACATGCTGGCTAACAGAGTTAAGATACAGAAACATCTCAACATATTAGAAATTTAATTTAAATCTAAAAAAGATTAATTTTAACAGGGAGAAATATAAATAAATTATTCACATAAGTTTTTTTTTTTAAATCAACTATGTGAGTATAGGGTAGAGGAGGAGGGATAGCTGGGTAAAATTTCCTGGTTTAAAAAAAAAAAGATCTTGGGTTTTAGTCAACTGCAAGTTCATAGAGGTTGACAACATGCCATAGCAGCCACAAGTGCAAAGACCAATCTACACAGAGAGGAAGGTATTCAAAATGAGGAAGATGAGAGTACATGCCCTGGTCATCTCACGTTTGGAGGGTTCAGTCCAATCCTGGGTGTCTTATTTTAGGAAATAACAGTGATGCTTTAACATGGTAGTGAATCCAGAAGATGGTGAGAAGGCAGGAGGCCAGATGAAGAAATTGTGGATATTTAACCTAGGAAGAAGACTTAGGTAAGATATGCTAGCTTCCTACAAGTATGTGGATGAGACTGGGCCTGTCCTGCTTGGCCTCTGAAGCAGAGTCCGGAGCGATGGATGGAAGTCACAGAGAGGCAAGATTTACGGCTGGTGTAAGGAAAAGCCTCCCGACAAAAAGAGATACACATAAATAGAATGGGATGCCTTGGTGAGGTAATGGGTCCTTGCCCCTCACTGGAGGTTTTCAAGAAGGCCAGATAACCATTTGTTGACAATCTCGTAGAGAGGATTCTCAGAGAGATACATAACCTCTGCAGGTACTCCCAACTCTGAAATTCAGCAATTCCATACATGCTTTTGCCTTTGGGAACAAACATGCTCTCAGAGGTTTCTTTTTTTTTTTTAGTCTTATTTTTAGATCATGAAGAGAGAGAAAAGCGATCACCCAAATGATAAAAATTTTGGGGAGATGGGTCCTATGAACAACTGTAATAGATTGGGGGATGACTGAATATTATTGTGCCATAAGAAAGGATGAAAGGTATGAATTCAGAGAAACTTCAGAAGAATTGCATGAACTGATAAAGAGTGAAATGTGCAGAACAGGAGAACAATTTTTATAACGACATTGTAAAGACAAACAAATTTGAAACACCTAAAAACTCTGATCAATGCAATGACCAGCCATGATTCCAGAAGACTAATGATAAAGCATGCTGCCCTCCTCTAACAGAGATAATAGGCTCAAGTCACAGAATGAGGCATACATTTCTGAACACGGAATTGGTTTTGATTGACTATGCCTTACATAGTTACAAGGTTTTTCTTTTTTCTTTTTCGATTGGGGGAGGTGGAAGGAGAGAAAGTAAATGCCTGTTAATCGGAAAAACATAAAAAAAGAAATAAAATTGATACTACTTAATGTAGAGAAGAGTAGGTTGGTCATAGGTTCAGAGAAGATAAGAAAGTAGAGGGAGACACTCTCAAATCCATGGACAAAGTGCATGGCAAGTGTATTTAAGGCTCCTCCACAACTCAGATCCCCAGATCAGAAGGTGGAAGAATACTAAGAAGGGAAGAGAAGAAGACACAGCAAGGTATGCTGATTTCTTTAAAGCCTTCTGCCTGACTTCCATGGGGATAGGCCCATTTTTTCTTCTCTGGTTTTGCTGCAAGGCTGCCTGAAGACAAGGGGCTGGACTAGAATCATAAACTCACAATGGTAAGAGGTATAAAGGAGATTGCAGTCATGACATATTTCTAGATCTAGAAGTGGAAGGGGCCTCTAATCCAAATCACTCATTTTACAGATGAAGAAACTGAGGCCCAGAGAGGAGAAGTGATTTGTCCAAGGTCACACAACTATCTAATGGCACAACTGGGATTCACATTCAGGTCTCTTGACTCCCCATCCAGAGTTCTCTATCTTATATCTCTCTTCTCTCTCAGACAGCTAAGGAGCATGGTGGCTACAGTGCTGGACTTGGCAACAGGAAATCTCATCTAGGACACTTTATACCTGAATGATCCAGAGGAACTAGTAATCTCTCTCAGCCTCAGTTTCCTCCTTTGTTAAGATGATATAATAATAGAACCTACTTCATATGGTTGTTGTAAGAATCAAAGGAGCTAGTATACATAAAGCACTTTACAAAACTTAAAGTACTCTCTAAATGCTGGCTATTATTATTAAGTATTATTACTACAAAACAGTATCTTTGCTCAGCGGAAAGATCACTGATTTTGGAATCAGAGGAGCTCAGTTCCTCTGCCATTTGATACCTGTGTGACTCAAGGGGAGACACTAACCCTCTCTGGCCTTCAGTGTCCTCAACTATAAAATTAATGGAATATGTGACCTCAAAGGTCCCTTCTATGCTTAATTCTACGATTCTAAAATCAAAGTTCATGGAGCTATATGGGGTTCCATCGCTAAATTTCAGAATTAGAAATTACCCATACAGCTAAGAGAGGAAGAATTCTTCCTTTCCATATCCGAGGAGAATGGAAATTTCTCCAAGGGGAGGGACTGTTCTAGGGGTTTGTCTGTCTGTCTGTCCATCTGTCCGTCTCTCTCTCTCTCTTTCTCTCTCTCTCTCTCTCTCTCTCACATACACACACACACACACCTGGCACAGCTTCTGGATCTTGGTAGGTACTTAATAAAGCCTTGTCAGACTAGAAAATGATAGAGTCAATTCTGACTCAAGGCCTATGTGGCTTAGCTCCCTTCAGAGTTTCTTTGCCTCAGTTTCTGCGCTGTCCTTACCCAAACTGCTCCTTTGCTTAACTTTGAAAGGGACCATATCTCCGCCCCCGCATCATTCTGGACCGGCCTGCCTGTCTAAGGTTAGTTGCCATAGGCATCACTGAGCCCACGGCTAGAGGCATGCAAGAGCCAAAGCAGCTTGAAACATGTCCTTCCCTGGG